AATTCCGTTTTGAATGTTGAGTGAAGTGTCCCTTTTTTTGGCCACCCCTGCATATATATAATATAACAAATTAACAATCTTTCCTCCAAGTTTTTGACTTAATGACAGCGGTAGTAAATGGCAGGAGTGTGTTTCTCCAAGCTCTCAGCCAAACTTCGTTTTTCATGAAGCGATTTGGTAATGGATCCAAGGGAGCGCAAAGTAGTTGATATAATGGTTATATGTCGTGGAAAAGGGAATTTGGCAGGAACGTAGGGTTTTTGCTTACACCGAAACTGCGGTGCAAAGCAAATACATTTTCCAGGTCACATATGTGTGAACATGGTCTCATGACAATTCATTCAGTGCCCATAATATTTTGGCCACGGAATCCATCGAAGAACTGTAACAGGCCCCAATCCGAAAAAAGTAATTATTCGCTACGAAGTTCACAGTAAATTTCGAAATAAAAATCAAGGGCGTATTCATACACCAGGGATGGCTTCGGAAAGTGCTATAAATTTCCATATGAAAACTCGTTTGCTCACTTCTTGAAAAACAGTGTCAGTTTCCTACTGTCTGTGCAATCCAATCAATAGCCGAGTTTTCGTCATGAAAGAGAAAATTCATCACTTACGTGCGGGACAGGAAATAATTGAGAGGACAGCGTCTATGGGGAATCACCGAGAAATCACGTTAGCTCATCACAAATTGAGTAGCGCTCGATGTGCGACCACAGTTGAAATGGGAATATACATGAAGGTAATTCATCGTGTTGTGGCGTTGGCAATGTGTTCTACTTGGATAAAAACTTGTGATGGTGAGTATTCTGATCTGAAACAGCCTTTGTACATCGGAAATGGGATGACACCAAAAATGGGTTGACAGCTTTTTGATTTATGGCGAGCCCTAGCTGGAGTAGGCATTCAGTTTATGTTTAATCGTGCGTTCACTACTTCAAGGCAGAGGTGGAGTAAAATAGGTTGGCGATGCGCCGCTCATAGTTCAGAGATCGGGAACCTAGATTGAATCTTTCAGTCTGCAGCCATCCCTTCAAAGGTCAGTAGGTGCTACTATAATCATTTCCAAATAGCATGTGCAACCGATCACAACTTCAATGTTAGGGCCACAAGCACATTTGAAGCGTTAAAACGCTTCGTTTTTGAGAAGGAAGACGAACATGGGACTCATTTCAATGAAGGACTTTTTCTTGATTTGCACTTCGCTACTTCGAATCTTTGAGCTGTAGCAACTCTCACACAGTTCTTGAAGTTCACGCTACTCAAACATTATTCATTGCCTTCCTTATTCATCGCTTCACCTTTCAGGTTTTGTTTTTAATTGGAAGTACGTGACTTCATAGCTGTTAACATAACAGTTGATGGTGAGTTATGGTAGACGCGCGCGTGTGTGTAGTTTGTGACGTATTGTGTGAACAGTGAACATGATGTCGGTTCTGATTTGTATCAGCCGATGAAACATAGGGAGAGACGAGACTGAGAAATGGGTGGGACTCACCTCACCTCCACCTTTCGTTTTATGTTTGCAGACCAATGATTACAATGCCGTCACCGAGTGCCAAGCTCACAACTCACGATTCCATTCAGACAGCCGCGGCACCACCTCTCCAACCACCAACAACTTCAACCTTTATCACGTCATACCTCATTTTTACTGCTAGTGTTCTCTTGCACAATATCATGAACCAGCAGTAATCCATAGATCACGATTTGAAAACCACATGTGTAATGCAATCTCTGCATAGTGTCTAATGCGACCTCACAATTAGGAAATAGCTGTTGGAGCAGGAAAAAGGTGTGTTCGGTAACAGTTTCACTCAGCACAGCAGATTACTTCAGGTCGTAAAATTGCTCTAAAAATATGTCGGTACCCTTTGAAGTATCTCTGCGACTTTACTGTTTCCGCCCTTAACTCATTGTTGAATGGGAACAGTGAATAGGCAGTTTTTCGAACCTAATTCAAATCGTTTCTCTACCGCCGCACAATTCGAAGTTACTTCTCCTAACTTACTTCTAAATAGGATGCTTGTCTTCCTCAAACTGGGATAACTTCGTTTTTTTCATCAGTTACTGTTACTAGTTACTGAGAAAATTTCATTCCCTAGGCTTCCATTCCAAAAATGATACCGTTTTGCTTTGAGAACGTTTGAGGTGCATTTCGTGCTAAACGGGGTTTCGCCATAGGATAGAAGTAATGCCATACTAAGCATGTTTACTGGAATTTACGAGCAATCGTCTTACAACCTCACCCTCTTCGTCGCCGATTCGAGATAGGGTGTGTCGGCAACCACAACAGGTATGTTGCAGCATTTAAGATGTGAGTATGTTTTGAAACTGTTTTAACACCCCTACGAGTAGATACCCTGAATAAATCTTTTTGGACGCTTCCCAAAACAGGGTTGAAAACATTATAAAAGGGAAAAACTGGTGGTGGGTGTGAGGTGGTGAATAGGTTGGCTTATGTTTATTGTTTGTTTAGCAATATTACCCTGATGCTCATCTCTTCTCTCTCGTCTCAGTTGTTGATTCCTTTTGAATAGTGGAAACAGAAACATACCATTTTTGAAAAGCTATTTTCAGAGTACGCGACTCTACAAGTACCATATTACTCTGTATAGACTTATAAGCTTGAAACAATATGTCTGAGCTCAATTGTAGTGATACCTTTCCCATACCAGATATGCATACAATGTATAAAAGTGAGTGTTTTATGAAGATTTTCACTCAGTAAATTGCATTAGGGGCGGCAGTTGAGAAAAAAATCAACGGTTGGGTGTGTTGAGAGTGAATTAGTACTCACCTTACAGGCGATCTTACAACATTAACGAACTGAGGTCAGACTATCTACTGAGTCAATACTATCTCAGTAGTATTGAAATTGACGAAATCGAGGAAGCGGGGCTTAGTGAGTTGCTCGCACGAGCAGGAGCCATTCTAATAATCAGGGTTGTAGTAGAAATTCCTTTCTCACTGCAAGAAGTTAAGCAAAGTAAAAGCATTGTATTCTGTTATTGCAGACTTCACTGATACTCAGTTCCTACTTTTCGTCGTCGCCGGTGCTCTCAACCTTGCAGTAGTTGTTATCGGAGTTCTACACATACTAAATATATGGAAATATATAAATGACGAGAAAATACGCTCAAAGCTGTACATCCTCGCATTGCTGTTTCCAGTGAGTTTTGAAGATGTCCTGTCACTTCTGAATGAAAATCAATTCGAAAATCGATAAGACCATTACTGAAAAAATACACAACTATTGTTAATCGGGCGATAACGGTTTTGTGAGTGACAGTTTCTGCTTGGCAGAAAACAGCTGTCACAGGAAAATAATCGTATTAACTAGCACTTGTCTCGGGGTCAGAAGTTGGTGCTCCAGGGAGTGAAAGGTGTTTTCCCATCTGAGTGCATCGTCGAGTTTCTGTAGAAATTATTGAAAGGTTGAGAATTTCTTTGCGCGAAGAAACTTTCGAAGACCACAGAGAGGGCCATAATTGCGGTCACCAAACTTCATGTCATCAAAGACGTATAAGAGTCTGATGCAGGGAAAAAAGTGTTTGTTCATCATATCTCACAGTAAAAGCAGGTTATGTTCGAAATCTTTCACCAGCTGCCTTCATACGGGCAGGGCCATAAGACAAAGAAGGAAGCTTTGGGAGGGTCAAAGGGAGGGGCTATTTTGACGAAAAGTCGTAGTTGTAGTATGTATGGCCCTTTCTCTACATGGCAAAAGTTGGGTATTAAGAAGGTCCAAGTGAGCTGTTACAGAAATTTTCCCGCACTCACACCAAAACCGTGAATGTGATTTTGCTTTCGGCGTTTGTCCCGGATGTTGCAGCAATCCTTAATCCTTAATCCCAGATATTTGAAGGCTAGCCTAATAAAATTCTGTGTTTTTTGAAAATGCGTGCGTTGAAAATCGGAACATAGGCAGGTTAATGAAGTTGAGAAACCATCCTCATTTCACCCTCGCTGCTTTTGACTCCTTTTTTGAAGCTATGCACTTTTGAGTGGTTATGGAAATCAGAGTGATGAAGCCAGTTACATCTCATGCTAAGCGGAAACACCTTACTGTAGACTACAGCACCCAGGAACGCGTTTCTCGGTATTATTTTAGATGAAGGCTTATTAGCAAGACTCAGTGTGTGACTGTCTCAGTGTACATAGTACAGGGTGGCTGAAAACAATAGGACGCCATGTTTTTGTGTAAAAGCCAAGAAAGAGACTCGATCAGGAAACCGACTTCACACAAAGATAGAGTTAAGCTATTTGATCACTTGTGCAGAAGGTGCTTTGAATTTGACGACTCTGCTTTGAGAGAGGCCTTCTGACGTCCAACGACAAAATCAGCAGTGCGCCGCAGGTAGCCAACGGCGATGTCGTCCCACCTCTTCTGAAGCGCTAACTTCAGAGCACCCACCGAGCTGGAGAAGTCTTATGAGGTCTTGCTCTACAACATCCTCACATAGAGGAGTCCATCGGGTTAAGGGCCTGAGAGGAAGAAGGTCACAATTCCTTGCTCCAGTGGCCCGGGAAGTGAGCGCCCAGGATGGCTTTGGTCGATTTGAACGCGTATTAGGGAGCCCAGCTTCATTGAAGAGCAAACGATCATTGAGCAAAATGCTCGTAAATCCAGAACAACATACCGTACCTCATTAAAGTCTTTTGCAAGACCTTCGAGTTAATTTAACATTTGTGGAAGATGAACTCCAATGGAGCTGCACTTTTGGATGTTACCCCGTCACAAACTACCACACCTTCGGGAGAAAGTCTGTTGTAAACTAGACGTTATCTCGGAGACTTGCTCTCACTTTTTGGCAACAACTGCCTCTGACTTTGGTGGTCGCAAAGAAGTTTAGTTCGAAAATTTTCTCATTAACCCAATCCGTAAGAGAGATGCGGCGCACCTCGCAGAAACTTTTTGCATTTTATCAGTTGAATCTATTCGGGTTGCTCCAATAAAAACCAGCATAGAAAGAGTCGGTAACCTCTTCAAATAATGATTGCTTCCCAAGATTTTCTGGAAGGAGTGACGGCAGATCCTGAGATCAAAAGCGATGTGACTCACGCTGGCTTCATCGTTGTGAGCCATCCTCTTCTAGGTGATTGCCCCAATCCTCTGAGTGTGCACAGTTCTTGAACTTCCACTTTTCGCAATCCCAGAGACGTGTGCTTGAACCTTGAGAGCACCGAACATGTTTCAAAGAGTTGAAGAGGGAATACCGAGTCGCTTTCCGAAGTTGCAATTTCAGAGACCGTCATTGGGCAGCCTCTTGGTAATGGGTCGATGCAAAAAAATCTTCATGGCGAGAGTTCAGATGAACTTTGGACCAAACAACTTATGATTTTTTAGTTTCAAAGCTTTCGAAGAGTTTCGAAACACTCTGAAAATACTCCACGGCTCAGTGCCAGCAAGCGGTCAAAGCCGCGTCCTATACTTTTCGGCCACCCTTTACATGGTATAACGTGAATCACAAGAATGCCGAGATATGGGCAAAACTTTGTCCCATGCAGGAATCAAACCTGCATCAAGGCTTTTTCAACTTTCGATTCAGTTTTTTTTCTTTCTTTCGTTTTTTTGAGTTAAGCCTTAGGCCCAACCAGGTTTGATTCCTCTGTTGGGCGAAATTTATGAACGTTACGCATTGAAACTTTCGTAAGGCTAGAGTGGCATTAAAGTAGCAGTTAACAATCAAAACCAACTGAAAAATATCATGGGCAATTCGGAATTGAGCTCAAACCGTAGTTATACATAACTACACAACTCATATAGAATGACTGGATTGCACTAGAAATTAGTCTTCATGGAAAATTTGCCTTAAACTTCGCATTCGGACGCAGTTTGACTCCTATAATACCTTACCAAATATCGCACCCTCTTGGTGCAAAAGGCCCGTTACTGGCGTCTCAGGCGTTGGAGTCAAAATAGCTCAAAACAGATTTATCAACTAAAGCTGCAAAATTACACCTATGTAAGGTGGAAACAGGCTCATCGTGACTTGCGTGCAAACACCATTTTATGATTTTTGTCTACAATGCAATTTCTGTAGATATTTAAAAAAATTCACGCATTATCGGAAACCCCACGTGAGATTATCAAAAATGAGCATTTTTTCAAAATGCAAAGTGGAAGCTGTGCACTTCCTCACCCGAACTAGATTGAGTTTGGACAAGGTTTCGGCCACTTCGCTGACCCAAGGTGATCAGGCACTAGCATCTGTTTGAGTCCTCGAAAAGAAGGGAAGGAAACTGTAGATAGTGCCTGAGTTACTTCACTATCTCCAAAACATGTCGATTTTCAGATAATAGTTTCTCTTGCGTTCATTTCTATGATTTCACCACGAAGCGGATCAATTTTCTCATCGATTGGAGTGCTTTACATCTTGTTTTGTCTGTATACTGTTACATCGTTATGCAGGTACCTTTATTTCTTTTCAAAAATTATGTCGAAACTTCGAAAGTGAAGTGTACCGGCTCACTTGACAGAGCATCTTAGACTCGTGTTGCATAATTCACTAGTTGAATACTGCGTAGACAACGCTAGACCAGGGATTAGTAACACTTACGGCTGAAAGAACAAGATCCAAATTTGAGCAGTAGCTAACACACAACTGCTTATACGCTAGGCATCCAGCAGCCTAGCGATTCCATGACTCCTATTGTAAGTCGGATTACTGATGCACATCAACGAATGCTATTAATGAGCCCACATCGTTTTTTCACGATGACGTAGCTGGCCGGTGGAGGTTGACCTCGAACTCATAGATGGCGCGATTTCGACGTAAAGAGGATTTTACGACAACTCATGCATGATTGTCGCCCGTGCTAAGCCCTATGCAAATCTGACACTTGGTCGTTGATCGCCATGAAAACTACCAGCACGAAAACATTTCGGCGCACACAGGGTCTCTTTTCCTTAGAAAAAACAACGAGCAGAGCAAACAGCACATGAGCTCGCTTTGCGAAGAGAAAAATCTTGACAACGAGAAAAGCAGAAGACACAAGCTTCGTCTTTCTCTAAACTTAGAACCACCTCTAGGTGCACCTTTCTCACCATTAGTGCGGGTCTTGCATACCATTATCACATTTCAGTAAATTTAATTGCTTCTTATACTCTCGAGCGATGCTCAATAGCAAATTCATACTGAAGCAGCAATAGCTGGCACCAACTTTCTACTTCAGACTGACCTGCATGTCTCTAAGTGATGTCTTGTGCTTACATTTAAAGTTGTACTGAATAATGAATAAATAAATAAAACAAAAAATAAAACAGCCTCTAAGCTAATTCTGAAGCAAGTCTCCTATCAGAAGTTTTTTTTTACAGGACGACGTCTGCGCTTCCTATATATAATAGTTACTCACATTATAACGTTAATAACAGTTACGTAGACCATTTTTGATAGCAAGAAGGTAGCACAGTAAAGAAGCACCACCCTTAATCGAGCGGAACGTCCAGATCACTGAGCTCCTCCCCTTCGGGGTTCAATCAACTGGACCTTGTTTGGAAGGACAAAGCTGATGTGGGTATGGCTGGCCTCCACGTCTTGCATGAGTCGAATGACATATTCAAATACAATTACGATTCGAAACAGAAACCCAATACGAAGCGCGTCTTTAAGACATTGATTGGATCGCCAGCACTACAGTATTACTTTATGACAGTGTTAATGATGTTAGCCACCAGGCATATTACCGATTTCCAGGTTTATATACGGTAGTCGTGAAGAACTTTCATCGGCTCTCAATCGTCATGAAGCGTCCCTTAGCTTTCAAGTTCCACCGTGTTGCTGCTGTATGCCATGTCTACCGAAAGCAATACCAAGCGAGTAAGTCATTCCAACAAAGATTCGTGTTCTTGATCCCTTTCTCTGGATTATTTTGGTTAGTCATTGAATTTAACCTCTTCAGGCGAAATCTCAAGATTGTTGAATGCCTGACTCTACAAGGGCCGATTATTCGGGCTTTCCTTATCATACTTAATTGTCACTTCGTAGCAGAGAAATGGGAGGATTCCGAATTGTAAGTTGATGAAACTATTTCTTCCATGCATAATGAGTATTTACGAAAACAAAAAAAAATACAACGCCCTTTACAGTTATCTTCAAATGACTGAGCTTGCTGGAATCTTATCGTTGCTGTTCACGATCTTTGGAGCTCATACCATGGCAAAATTGACAGGGGTAAGTGACGAGGATTGAAGGATAAACACAAACGCCCGGCGTCAATCCTCGACTTCCAAATGCCAAACGCAAGTATTCCATTGAAGGCACGACACAGAATGAGATCGAGTAGATGGCTCCTTTCGGTGGGTAGGATAGTGCTGCCCACGGTGGTCGCAGATGTCCTATTTACCCTGCTCCAAAGTGGGCAACAAAGGCTCTAGGAACTTGCAAGGATCGCCCGCTTCAATTTCTTGTCCGCAGCATGAATGTATATGGCCCTCTCTCATACGCTGTGCTCTCGCGCGTCTTCTTCTGCTACGTACCTAATCTCTCATTGGCTTAGCCCAAAAGTGAACAGGTCCTTAACGTTGGTGTTTTTGATGGATTTTTCCTTACTTTTGCTGTCGTCCCACTTTGCACCAGTAGTTCCACTTTCCTGTGCGACAACTGTACCACTATGACCATGGGGGATGCCTTTACCACATTCGTGACGGCGCCTTTGCCCACTTTTCGGTCGCGTGGGACGGACGCGATTTTGTGGGCGCCGCCGCCTCACCACATAACCGCAGATTTTGTTTGTAAATGAACAAAACATGAATGTCACAAAATGATTGTCGGCAATCTTTAATGCATAAAGGCTATCTAACATGTAATAATAACATCCAAAATAAATACACTGGTGTGCAAAACTTAAGGACGAGACAGATGAAGTATCATAACCTTTTGATAGCTTTGTGGACCGTTTAACGGTTCCTGTTAACTGCTTTCTTTAGTGCCCTGTGCAGCTCTTTGTATGTGTGGTTAGGTTCCATAGAGTCATGTTACGCGCCAGTAACACGTCGTTGGAAAAGCTACGTTCGTCCCTAAGTTTTGCACACCAGTGTAGTACGAAATCGATTAACACATTGACGACAACGCGGGGGATATACAGGGGTGGCCAAAAAAAGAGACACTTCACTCCACATTTCAGACAGCATTAATCACACTTTGCTAGAATCAAATCGACTGCCCCCAACTTAGTATTAAAGAGCACATTCTAATCTATCTAAAGTTACATGACAGCCTTCTACACCGACGACATCAGAAGATTTTCCCACGGAAACATGGTTCACGGTACGAGCTCAACGAGGTCGTCGAGGTACCATAGACCATTACGACGTCCCTGAAACGCTGGTCAAAAGCGGTTTTGCACAGTCACAGCTAATGTCTCTGGGAAGCTATTCAACAGTTAATCCATTGAAGAAATTATGTAGCAGCTTCAGGCCGGAGCGATTACGGTAAGCCTCGTTGAGCTCGACGGTGACGGCAGATGACGTCATATTCTGAAGACGGCGGGGCAGTGAAGGAGGGCCTGCTTCTGTTTACGGGGGAACACCTAAGGAATATTTCGCCGTAAAACTTTCATTAACATCGGCTCCCTGTGCGACGAAAAGTTCGATGATGTGCGCCATGGGCAAAGTGTCTCTTTTTTTGGCCACCCCTGTATATCCCCCGCACCCATTACACTCATTTTTTCGCGCACGCCTGATTCTTTTAGAAGTTTCTTGTATTCATTCCATGGAAGAGACCTTGACGTAGCTACAAACATAGTGGCCCTTAGAATGGTCACGTATGCTTTAATTTAGAGGAGGATTTCTGAACCATACGAAATCTTCATTTCAATAAATTTTTCGTTTACTTTTTCTTTTTATGAATGTGAAGATTTAAATAGTAGTAGAAGTAGATAAGGAACCTTAGGGATGACAATATGTGTGTTTTGATTGAAATAATCAACGTAAAATTGCTTTTGAGGTCCATTGCAGCTAGTTCTGAAAATTTCGCTTTTTCATTGTTATTCCATGTCTTTCGATCGAAATTCCACTACTGTACCCCTGGTAGGTTGTGCTCATTACAATTTACTGATTTGGTTTTGAATTGATCATTATTTGTGTATTTATCACTCAAAATCTGCTTGAACGACCTGAGGCGAGCGCGCCCGTGGCCACAGATCGTCGGACCAGATTTTGAGTGATAAATAATCGAGTGATAATGAATAGTCAAAATCGAAGCGGTCCCATGTGGCTGAAAAAGCCAAAACTCGCATTGTCGTCAACGTGTTAAAACGATAAATACTGGTAATGAAAAGGCAAAAATTCTTCACTTTCCTCGCAGTGGAAGCATTTATAACTCCATTGTTTTGATGTGGTCACTTAACTCTCAGTTCATAGGGCTTTGCCTTTACTCTTAGCGCCCTTTCCACTCACACGTTTATAGCAAGAAAAGGAGACATTTGGTAAATGCTACAGAAACAGTTAATGGCGGTAGGTGTGAGGGAAGCAAGGGAGTGGGGTCTCGTATGCAAGGGGGGGGGGTTGATGGAAGGGAACGAAGCTAGATGGTAGGTGCTATAAGAGCCCATCAGCAGTAAAAATTTTGAAATCGTCCACAGTGACGTTTGGCTGCGATCTAACATTTCCATGGACTATGCTTTCTTTTCGTTGCCATTCCTAGCTCCATTTTTCATTCTTCTTAGAACGCATCATCTACGGAGAGTTATAATACGTTAGGCAGTATGTATTTCAATGATTAGGGTTGACAAGCAGGGTCGACCGTGCGTTGTGCAGACTTCAAAATTTTAACGACCCCTCCCCTTTCAGGAGAGTATCAGTACGATCCCTCGTATTAGCTAGTGTTTTTTACATATTTTATGCCCATCATCTATGTATGGGCCGTCACCGACATGGAGAGTGGTGGACAGTGTGTGTCTCGCTCAGAGGACGGGAAACGAGGCAACGTAAAATTTTACTAATCAAATAGAAATAATTTTCCAAATTTCACGTGAACGAAAGCGTGGTAACCAGTAATCACAGAGATTTCTGCGCTCAGACTACTGAGTTTTTTTCAACCATCCCAATTTCCTTTTTTTATGTAAACTGAATAACTAAACCTTGCAGCAATTACGTTACAATACAAACCCCTCCATTCAAAGGTTATATTTTTCTTCAAAAGCGGTCTCATGAGTTCGTGTACAAAAATTTAGAAAGCCAGAACAGCTTTCTTCCTAAAAGGCTTTCAATCTATTGCAAATATTCGATTCTTCAAAAAATCTCCCGATGTCGTCCCGTTGTTCCGTTTTTTGAGCAAACGCGCGTTTCAACATTCACGCTCATAACTTCCCATGTAATGAACACTCCGCAGTTCTCTAAGGCTAATTAGAATTTAGGAGATTAGAGCTTTCCGGAAAAGTACCGGATTTTTCCTGAAGACCACTTTCTAGTACCCCGATGTTCCGTTCTACAGGGGTCTGTGGTCCGAGTTCTGAGAAGGCGCGAGTTTTGGCCATTTAAACGTACACAACTTCCTTCATATATAACTTTTTGTAGTCTCTGAAGAGCTAGGAGACTGACGCTTTCACAAAATATCGAATTTCGTCTTAGTGACCACTCCTTCGAAAAATCATCCCGTTGTTCCGTTTCTTCCCCTAGCTTTTTAGACCATTCTCCTGGAACGTGAGTTTTCAACCTTCAAATGGCCATAACGCTTCTTCAAAATCGGTACATTGAGAAACGGTAAAAAAAAATCGCTGAAATCAGCAAGAGCAGGACCTCAGAGCATATGCCAGTTGCCTTGAAAGGGAAACCTTTCTCCTGCCAGAGGTTTCTATTAGGACCGTGGTCAATCCGCCGCATTCGTTCCACCTTCCTCCACTTTGATTTGGATTAAAAACATTGGACTCTCTCTGGAAGAATATTTTTTGCTCGTACTCACTGGGGCGTGACGTACATACTACTTCAGAAAGAAGTTTTGCTCTGGGATGCGCCATTCAATCGTCTATGGTGAGTAATCGCAGTGGTAGTTGAAAGTCTGTCCTCCTTTGCCACTTAGCCATGCCTTGGCACCTTCAAATTTTGTGATTGGTACTTGAGGGCCCGACCCTTCCCTTGCATTGGCCGAGTACGACCCTCTCGTTGTTCTTTGCAGTCTGTAGAAGAAGGAAGCATGCACGTGTGATGATGAGTTCCATTTCAGGAACATGTTAGAAAATTCAAAGTTCTGACCATCTTCCGCTTTGTTGACATCACTTTGGCATTATTCACTGCTCAGTTGCCACTGATATTCCAACTGATCTTCGTGAACCTGGGAATTATCGATTGTGGACCAATATTGTCCGCCTTAGGCAACGCAAAGTGTAAGTATTTCAGCCTTGTGAAGCCGCGAAATTCAAATCGAATCATTCCCTTTCGAATCATTTGGTTATTTTTCCAGATATATACAATTTTGTTGTTATATGTGAATTGTCATTAATGTCTCTGCTAGCTACACGTCTGCTTCTTCCAGAAAAGTGAGCAATAACTGCCTACTATTATTTTCTTTTTATGATGTTTCCCGAAACATTCTAAAACATTTCTTACAGATGCGCTCTATTCGACAAATCTCCTACACGTTTACTGGAAATCGCAAGGAGTGCTCAAGAGAAAATGCTTTCCAAAAATTAATTACAGAACAAAGCGGCTGGACCGAAATTAATAAACAGAATGGAAACACTTACAGTTACACAAACGAGTTGACAAAGTTTATACGCATCTTGATCAAACGTTGGCAATAGTCCAATTTATGAAAATATCAGCTTCTTTTAATATAATATTACATTGCTATTGCTTCTATTGCTTTCGGTTTTGCATAACATTTCCACTTCCCCATGAAATTATAAACCAGAGAGCGTTGATCAACGTTATTGTAAGTGCACAACGTATTCCACTTCCACTAGAATCTTCAACGAACGTGACTGCGATTTGGCCTTTACAATGACTTAGACCCAGCCGCTGTAGTACACGTCGGTGTTTCTAGCGTCCCAGGCAATTTTTGTACCCCCTGGCGCGAGTGAAGGGGGTTTGATTGGTCTAGATCGAAGTCCGATCTGGTATCCACTAACACAGACACATGCATAGCGCTCGCAGTTGCGTAGCATTGCTGCTGATACAGAAACTTGTCGTAGCTTTACACTGAAGATTCCAACCAAAATAACAGAGAATATTTTTGGAGCACGAAATTTCTGAATGTTCACGAACCATGACTTCCGTGGAAAGCGTCTATTCAGGAAAGGGAACGCGGCGACGTAAACTTAAGAATTCGCTATTCCCTTGTTGGAGTAGGTCAGAAATCGCCCCGTCGAGATATTTCGTCAGAGTACCGCAGCGGGATAAAGTTAAGCGTAGCGATCTTCCAAGATACTTCTGTGAAATATTTGAAGCAAATTTGCGATCCACTAGCACTTCTTTTTGTAAACGTAAATTTGTGTGGCAATGATTCAGCACAATAGGATATACATATGTCCACACAGTTCACTGTATTTTGCCGTGTATAGTATATTTTTCAGCTACTTCCAAAAACCTTATGCTTCCTCTCAAACAAACTCGCAGTTTCAGCGCTTGAACGAAACAGCTGAAGCGCACGACTACGATCCATAACGAGCCAAGGTCCCCACCTCCTCCCGAACAGGGTACAGCAGACTCGTCTACTACTGATTCCGGCAACAACGATCCCCTATCTCTCCGGATCGTTTACGACCCTTATCAGGGATTCCTCGGCGCACATCCTCCTTTCATTGCCCTCTGTCTTGATTTTTTGAGAGGAGCGGAAGAGGCGGTTATCGGTAGGGAAATCAGAGCACAAGGAATCTGTTTGGTGAAGGCCGTACTTCTCCAGCTCGGCATGGGTCACCTTGCGTGTGAGGTTGTAAAGGAATTGGTTCGCCTGTGAACCAGCGGGATAGCAATCACTAGTATAAAGCAAACCCTAGCCTCGTCTTGTGCGTTTGCTGGCATCTCGACCACTTCCAACGCCTGAGTTATAAAAAAAAACAGGACCAATAATCCATTCAAAAAAATTGTACTTTAAGTATTTGCAGAAGAGTCAAGACGGGGAACTTTTTGACCAACCCAATACTTCTATGCAAAAGGTCGCTAATCGGTCAAGAATGCGGCACTATCGGAAAACTCAAGTTCTCGAATGTGGGATCAGTATCATTCTCCTGCAGCACTTCACTTTAAAGTTGACCAGCGAAGAGAAATGGAGATGTATTAGGTCGCCGAAGAATTTTGACAAAGAACGTTGCTGTATATTTACAAACCATTTGAAATAACATATTTTAATTCAAAGGCGAGTCGAGATCGGATGTTTATTGTTTACCAGTTTAGCTGTTTAGCATTCGCGTGCATCACACAGTTCTGCGGCGATGTGGATTGGAACGGCGTAAATTCTCAAACTTGGCCCGATACACTACCAATATTTGATAATGCCATAGCGGATCTTCGCGCTAACCACTTCGATGCACTAATCGCATTTCACCTCCCTCCACTGCTAGCTTCTGTGCAATGATTTCCTCTACTAAGGGTCGTCAGGGTGTTGAGTTATGACGGCGAGTGGGAAGTTCCGCTCACTCCGGTGCCCCCTGCCCCAACAGCTTTCAAACCTCCCGAGGTGGGACCAATTGATGCCAAGTCTTCTCTGCCGAAAATTTGTGTTTTTACTAGCAGGTAGAGGACAGGACAACATGGGACTCAATTCCGAACTTCAGTAGGGCTGCTAGGACATTTGATCGGGTAGTCATAAACTGATTCGACTCTTTCAGGCTCTGAAGAAGGCGATCCTCGCCGAAACGTAAGCCCAATAAAAGTTATTTGCCAACCTCGTGAGGAGCTTCAAAGAAAATAACAACAAGTTATGAGAATGGTGGCAAACTCCGCCCACTTCGGGGTGTGCCACGCCCAGCGTTCACATTCAACCTCTACTCCTCCTCTCACCTCTATACGTATTTTTTCAGGTCTCTAAGTCATCTCGGAGCCGAATTATGAGGTCTTGTAGAAGACGTTATGAGTCATGAATTTTCGTGGCAAACCCCGCCCACTTTGGTGCAAGCTTAGCCCACCAATAGCATTTAACCCCTTTCCCTCCGGCAACCCTTATCCACATTTTCCCGGTCGCCTAACTTCTAGGAACCGAGTTATGAGAGTGGTGGCAAACTCCGCCCACTTCGGGGTGTACGCCCAGCGTTCACATTCAACTACTCCTCCTCTCACCTCTCACACATTTTTTCAGGTCTCTAAGTCATCTCGGAGCCGAATTATGAGGTCTTGTAGGGGACGAAATCGAGCTACGTATCTTTGTGGCAAACCCCGCCCACTTTGGTGCATGGTCGCCCACTGATATCAGTTGACTATCATCTCTTCCCCAACCTTTTCTACTTTTTTCCCATCTCCGGAACTTATTGGAACCGAGTTATGAAGTACCGTGGCAAACTCCGCCCACTTTTGGCGCATGCTCCGCCCGCCAACAGCAGTTGACCCCTTTCCCTCTGCCAACCCTTATACGCTTTTTCCCGGACTCCGGGACTCCTAGGAACCGAGTTATGAGCCTGGTTGCAAACTCCGCCCACTTTGGTGTAAGCCACGCCCAGCCTTGACATTTAGCTTCTCCTCCCTCCTAACCTCTATCCACTGTTTTCCGGTCTCTAAGTCATCTCGGAGCCGATTTATGAGCTCTTGTAGAAAACGCTCGTCCGCTTCACGACACGCTCCGCCCATTGTGGGCGGGCCTCCGTTCACATCATGTGTGCTGGAAATACCTTAGACATAAATATCTCCGAAAATTTCCTTCTGCTTCCACCATTTCAACCCATTTTTACCTATACTCCCACTACTTCCTTTTCTAGGGGGGGGGGAAACGGCAAATTTTTATCCTGCGCGCCCTCCACTCGCCCAGCCTACTACCCACGAAATCTTAGTTTCACCTCAATCCCACACGTGATTTCGAGCGACTAAAGTGGGTACGACCCCCCCCCCTCCAAACTCAACCAGGTACGACCCCCCCCGTTGTTACTTGTACCAACGTAGGGTTGACCCTGCTTGGGCCATGGGGGGTCGTACTCTTGGGGTCAGTAACAGCAGTGGTATCGTGGTGCAGATAGGTAAGAGGGTATAGCGCAGCAGAAAATGAAAATATCAAAAAACATGATATTAAATTTTCTTTGCAGGTTCAGTCGCTCCATTCCTCCACCTTCATGAGAAGGGCGTATTTGAAGGCAGTACAAAGAATGAAAGTGCATCCCCGCAAAGAACACATGTGCGCACGCGCTGCAAAGGCACCTCCTCTGCCTATCGCTCGCTCCTTCTCCCTTAATACCTCGCTGAGAATGACACTGTTGTTAGGGACCCTGTCGCAAAAACGACAACCGTGAAGGAAAAGCCCTGGGCAAATGAAGTTGTTCTTTAGGTTGTAGGAGTTACGAAATGCGTTTACTACAATGCAGCTTCTGTCAACTGGTCATGATCATATGACACCTTCGAATCGATTCTGCAACTTCGAGTGAGGTCGGATGCATGGCCTATACTCAGACAAAATTCGATGATGACGATTGCCCCTTTTCCTATTGCTTATGTTGGGAGATGTTTTCTAGACCCATTTCAAGCGTTGCCAACAATTACACTTGCAATGGTGAAGAAGGGAGCGGATTTTCAGGTGGCCGGATCCGTCCTCGATACATACTCGACGCAGATATCTTCTCAACTAGGAAATGTAGAAGAAAGCTAAGAAGACCATCAGAAAGCGCAAACCTTCCGCTTTCCAAAACTATCTTCCTTTTTCAGGATCTTACAATATAAGAGAGATATTGCTCTTGAAGTGGCAAAAACTCGCGTGAAAATTTCAGCGTCCTCGACGTTTACTCGACGAAATTTGAGAGACCCTATCTTTCTGCATGGAAGGCTTTCAGAGCAATTTCAATACTTCTTGGAAACGCGAAATCCAGCTCTATCTAACCCTACCTCAAACTGCTTCAAAGGTTATGAAATGGAGGAATGCAACCTTTTCATCGAGGGTGTAGATTTCGACGGCTTTTTTCGGGATTCCAGCAAATCTGACCCAGTGACA